TCTTAGTGAAGAGAAAATAATTATAACATCTGATGCTGTTTGTGAGAGTTTGTTAAGAAGATCAATAAGGACAGGAGCACTCTAGCTTTTTTTATTATGGTTTCTGTGGCAACCAGGGGAAATAACATAGGTAAAATTTTAGTCCCATCACGCTCCATGTGGTGACAGTAAAATATATAATTGCATGCTTCCCACCAGAATGCTTACTTAGTATAATCCTATACAATCTTTTCTCTTGCACTCTTTTAGGTGTTTCATCATTTTCACAGCTTGCAAAGCCCTGAAAAATGAAGGAAAAAAACAAAACCCCTTGAGTTGGTTTGGCTTTGAGAGTTTATGACAGGACTAATTTAGTTTGTCTGGCAGCAATAATCCTAGATTATTCAAAACTAAGAAGAAGTGGGTGTGTAAATCATGCAGTCTTTCTAGAGAGACTTGCTTTTGCAGTTTGCCAGAATCCTCATCCTACTAGAGGATGAACTTCAATACTTCTAGAGCATATTTACTTCTAAAAACAGCTGACATAGGCTACTGATTTCAAAGTGGTGGGCCAGAATCTTTCTTTCAGCAGCAACTTTCCAATAGCTTGTGTACACCAGTTTGCCAACCCCACGTGTCTGCCTGCCTGTGTTTTGAGCTGTACTCACAACTCAAGAACACCCTGGGCTTGCAAAAGGTACTCAGAGGTACCTAGAGAAGCACCGACACTTTGCTGTGACATTTCTTCCCCTGCAACATTTCTTCCCCAAAGGGAAGGCTGATGAGCCATATAACATAGCCTGTCCTAGTGTCTGAGAGGAGCTGGATAAAGCAGTGTAAAAGCTTGCAGAATTAGCTTCTGACTTGCACAAGTAGAGGTCAGGATTTGAAGACTCGCCCTTCCCCTTCACAGCAGCTCCCCAGCCTCCACACACAGTCCCTGCCTTGCCCCTGCCCCGCTCAGTACTTTACCAGCAGGACACCAGAGTTCCTCTGAGATGACTATTTTGGAACCCAAAATAAGTTCAGCTCCTAAACCTGCAAACAAGCCTGTGTTGAAATAAGCAGCTCAAGTTCTTAAACTCTTTACAGGGCTCTCTGTGAGCCAAAGAACATATCAAACCTAACAGAACTGCCATTGCTCAGGGCTATAGAAGTCAAATGCAAACTCTTGCTGAGGTCAATGACACAGAATCAAGAGCTGAACTTTAGCCACTTACCTCTCCATATTAGTTTAAGATATCTGAAGAAGGAAGAAGTAGATAACAGCAAAATGGATATAAACTTGTGGTAACCAGAAGATTACCTCTATAGAAAGTAAAGATCCTCTGGAGGTGAGTGTGTCTCTATGGAACAGGAACTGATGGGAAGAGGAGCAAGTGACAGCTTTGGGTACTGAAAAATACTTTTAAAAACCTTTAGGACTTTTTCTCCTCCAGTGCCAAAAGGTATTCAATTAATTATTTAACACTGGGAGCCAAATGAGCCCTGGTGCTCTGCAACAAGCTTCTGGGTGTGTTTCTGAGGAGGGTCCTGGCATAAGGTTGGGCAGGGCTGCCTGCTGTGAGAAGTCCTCAGCCTAGCAGCAGCCGGGCCCTGGCTGGGCCAGTGCACCCACGGGATCACAGGCGGAGGCTTTGCTAAGCCAAGCACAGGTGGGACCCGCTCTGCCTCTCCATAGAGTATCTTGCTGACACCAGCTGCCTACAGCTTCCCTGCCCGTACTCTGGGATGCTGTTTTGCACAAGTTAAACATAGTGCAGTCATTGGAAAAAAACAACCAACCAACCAAACAAACAAACAAAAAAAAACTTAAATGGGAAAAAGAAAAAAGAAAAATGTTGGCCTCTACCTTGCTTTGCCCACTGCAAGATGGGAGGCTAAAGTGTAACTAGGAGGCAGTACTGGTGATGGAACCAACCAACCGTTTTTAGACCCTGTCCTTGTTGCCTATCTTCATCTTCTCCTTTGCTGAAAGCTCCTGTTCAGGTTTCCTGGACATCTATTTTCAGTGAGGACACACACCACATGACTATGCTCAAGACAATCTAACCCTGGTCATTGAAATGGGAGCTTTATTTTGTACTGTATCTTCCACGTTATTTTTCTGTTCTCATCAGTGTATTTATTTGCAGGTTCATTTCCCAGATAAATGCTTTTGAGATACTGTCTCAGCTGTAACATCCAGAATCCGGATTTTAACAAAGCAGCTCCCTTTTTCTTCATCTAGAGATCTTGTAACTTCGAAGCAAGAATATCTATTGTTTTAATACACTTCACGAATCCAATCACATTTTTATTTTTAGCAGAGAGCACTTCAGATGTCTTTGGGATGTTCTACGTTTGTTTTCTCATTGTTCTCTTTGGGTTTTAGTGACAGAAATTAGAATTACAAGCACTAGCAGTATTGTTCTATTGACTGAAGATCAATACCAGATTGCTTTTCTCCCCTCATAGCTGACAGCTCCATCCTCCTCTGACATCAGAAATATTCATCAGAGTTACAATCATTTTACATACTTTTTATCTTGACACTATCATGAAAGGCTTAGAAGACACAATGCTTTTCACATATCACCTCCTTTAATGCTGCCTTTTCTTTCCTCTTGGAGAGACACAGAGATGGTTGAAAGTGACTTTCTGGGGAAAGTTACAGCCATAATTCAAACTAGCAGATGCCTAATGTCATCCACACGTTGTGACTGACTTAAAATAGCACATAAACCTTTAAACTACAAAGCTATGGATCTCTTTTTTAGCATAAACAACTCCAGACATTTGGCATCTCTATTTCCAATGTGAAAAAGCTGCATATTGCACAAGTGAAAGACACACAGTTGCTCAGAAAACACTGAAAACTGACAGTGCAGTTTATGGCATCTCCTACTCTGGGGCTGCTGCCGGCTGTGCCTCCATAGCAGGACACGTTGTCACAGAGATGGTGGTTTCTATAGCAGCGAGTTCTATATAAACAGCTTGACTTGTCCCTTGCCTAGGTAATCTTTATGTGGTGTAAGGAAGTTGGGAGAGAAGAGGCACAAACCTGCATCTATGCATGCTGCAGGCAGGCTCTGAGCAAGCATCGCACTGGAGGCTCTGTGGGGACCAGCTACCCCTGGATTTCTAGACTGAAATTCTGTAGCTATTCATTTTACTGATCGTTTCTATCAGGGAGAAGGTACCCTGAGGAATTCCCAATTTCCCAGCCACTCTGCACTAAAACCACCTCTGTTCCTTGGCTTCCTGTGCTGATGGGGGCTGTTCCCTCATGCCTACAGGCACAGACCCCCCGTGGGTGCCACATAACACATCCCCCAAAACATTCATCAATACCCGACACCTCCACACCTGCCTTCCACCATTCATATCATACCACACCCCATGGCTCCCCTGGACTCCCTAGCCCTCCCCAGGACTGCCCCATGCTCTGCCTCGTAGGCTTCCCACCCCTCCAGTACCAGCCAGCCAATACCTGCTCTGTGCCAACACCACCCAGAGATACACTGGGCTACACTGCCCATCACTCCTGGCCTAAAAAGTGACCCCCCATTCTGCTGAACTCATTAGGGTGTGCAGATATATGGGATCCTGTACCTGGTGGCACCTGGTTCCTACATACATAGTCCCTCTGCTCTATATGCTGTCCAGAATGAATTCAAGGGTTGCGCCTGATCCTGTTCTTCATCCCAGTACAAATAAGAAAAAATAATATTCTACAAGGTACGTTTCATCTGGTTCATTTGAGGATCACAGATGTCAGATTTGCTACTTAGATGATATTTTTAAATTCCAACCATGCAATGGCATATTACCACATTTAGCACGTTGCTTAAGAACACCGAACAGCGTTGCAACACAGCTTCTCATGCTAAAGCAACCATTTTCTGAACAGTGAATCAGCTCACAACCACTGGACCTGTTGGTTAGGTCAGTTTTCATTGGGATTAGGCATGCTTCATTTGTCCAGTGATATCATCAGAAGTTATGCCATCCTCTGGCCAGATACTATACTTGTATTTAAGTTAAAACACACATTATCCCACAGTACACACAAAGATGAGCAGGGACCAAAACAGAAGCACATCATCACATACATAACCCTGCCCTGCTTCCTAATCAGCTTCTCCTGTCTGTGCCAAAACCCATGAGGGCCAAAATGGTGACTCCGTCCCAGACTGACCCTTCTCCTGACCATGCTTTTTGCATCACTGGCCAAGTAAAAAGGCAAGACAGGTGAAGGACTAACATGTATAAGTTAAATATTTAAGGAATAAGGAATGCTTACACTTTGGAATAAAAACTTGCCAATTTGCATATTAAAAACTACACCAACACAAAGCACTGCTAGCAATAGTGTCTGTTGCTGAAAGGAAAAAATGTCCTTTCCTGGTTTATCCTTTAAGGGCCTAAAATTCCCCTGTAGACAGGATTTTCAGAAGCATAACTTACTCCACTAGCTTTCTTTGAGAAAAATGTCCAGCTCAGTCAATAGAAGTTTTGCTTGAGTAAAAGCTACTTCTTTAAACAAAATGTGAGGAAATTACAACCTGACAGGTTTGGGTTTTCAAAACACACACAGAGTTGCTCCCATCAAACAAAGGGAGTTTTAACATTGATTTTAATGGAGGAGCTCCTTTTCTGATGAGTGCTTACACGAACCTCTCCCTCAAAACTGTCATGCACTTTCCAGAATGATAAGTAAGTCAAAAAATACCCTCTCCCTACTGACTGGTTGTGATATATTATTTACTGGCAGCTTTTAAAAAATAAAGTTATTCACCATTTAAATATCAAGTGTAAATTTGTCTTCAACTTATCTGCATTAATCCTTTTGTTATTAAATCAATTAGTGTGCTGGTTTAGAAAATTCCCCAGGACATAAATTTCCATGGCACAGACGTTTATTTGAACTGTAAACAGAAGCTGAGTGTTGCTATGGTGTGATCTTTTCCTCAAAGTCTATTTACTTCTCCCAGTCAACAACAGTATGAATAGTGGAGTCCATAAAACAGAAAGTATAAAGGAAAGCAGCCATCACACACCATGACACTGAGAAGTCCTTATTCTAAGAAAATGAATTTGAACACTCAACATAAACAAAGGTATGTAGAAGAGCAAGATAAACTTTTCTCTTTTTTTTTTTGGGGGGTTAAAAATGGTACTTGAATCTGTATTTTGTGATAAAAGCTTTAAAAAGAAGCAGCAGTTTGAAAAGCCTGCATTGATTGTTCCTGTTTTGTAGTCTTCCCGCAAAACTGTAAGTTTGTGCAAGTTAAGGTATGCAGCCTAAGTGAATATTCACATTACAGCAAGTTAATGAGACTCAGGAGGAATGGAAACAGGCAAAGAGCAAAGAGCAAACAGATACAGCACAGAGATGCCTCTTGCAAAATCCCTAAATTAGCTTTTTGCAAGAGTATGGTACCATTTTAACTACTGAGCTAGTACAGGCTATTTCCAAAATGGATATTCTCATTCACCAGCAAAACTTTTGTCTCCTGTGAACTGCCCTCCTACTGGAACTACAAGTATAAGAAAGTTTCTGCTTCTTATTTTATGCTAATGGCATAGGTGGTTTTCATAATCAGACTTGAAAAAAAGGCAGTCCAAACACATCCTTAATTCTCCAGCTGTCAGGTTCAAGTATATAGACAAAACTCTTATGAAAGAAGAATGGCTGGAATTAGGAGTATAAATCATATCAAACAGATAAAAACCACATACTTTCCTCTAACAGAAGACTGGAAATTTAAGTTATTTTTCTGCAAAGTCTCCCACTCAACTTCTCCCTTTACTTCTGGATAATCCCCTTTTTAAACAGCAAATAAGTAACAGAAAGTATCATGCAATAGAATGCAATCACTTAATAATAAACTTCTTCCACTAAGGTGGGGAATGCTGCTGTGCCCACCCACAGAGCAGGCCCTGGCACTATTTTCCTAGTGTAGGTGTCATTTTCGACATCTGCAGGTCGAGCACCACACGGGCACCTCCGCCGACCTCACAGCTAACATAGGTCTAGGCAACACATCTGCAGTAGCAGGCAGAGTGGATCTGCGGAGCGAAACCAGCAGTTGCTAAGGGCTCACAAGGATGTTTAACCCACCCTGCAGGCGAGGGGCTGCCTGCTCTTCCCTGGCCTGCAGCGTTAACAGCCATGTGCAGCTGGAGCGTGGGTGCAGCTCGCCTTCCCCAGCAGCAACCCAGGCACCCCCGCAGCCTGCCTGTTCCAAAACCACCCCGTGGCACAACCCAAAATACAGGAAGTGGAGATGACTGGGAGATTTGCTTGAAAAACACTCTTAACTGGGCGTCAGATGTGAGTATTGACTCACTCATAGTCATCTAGTGCATCTGACAGCCTGATGTTCCTGCCTTTCCCTACTGCTGTCCTAAAAAGACATAGGTCCTCTTGCAGGTTTGCTATGGATCTGCTGGCAGTGCATGGATTTCTCAAGTATCCTAGGACTATCCAAATTGCAGTAGGTTCCTCTTTATGCGACTAACTCAACTGACCCAACTAATTTTGCACAGGTTAGTCAATCTTAAACAATTTAGAATACATTTAAAGGATCCTTAGCATGCACAGCAGACAAGAACCAGGATTTGCAGAATTCTCCTTTCATGGTTTAAACTACCAATGACCTGAAATGCTGCAGCAGATCATCAAGCACAAAAAAGGACATCTAAATATCCCTATTTTGGTTGCTATCTTTTCTACTCAGTTAAAAACATACAGAAGCCTTGAGTAGTCTGACCAGAAGCCAAGGATGCTGGTAGCTCAATAACCCAGAGCTTTGAGACACCTGCTGTTCAGCAGCAGGAATGATGGAAGCTGTAGGAGATCTCACCTGACATGGGGTTCTCCATGTTGCCAGGCTGCTGGCCTAATGCTGCTCTCTGTCCCGGGGCTCCAGATCCTTTAAGTATTTTGAAAATCGTGCTTCTCATTCATCAGAGATTCACTGATCTCATCATATTTCAAGCTGAAATATTTCAGGTTGAACAGGTCAACAATTTTCCACAATCCCAGTATTGCTGAAAAGTTTTTTTATGAAGTCTATGTAGAAGAGGCTGGTATGTGCACTTATGTCAGTGCTGTGATCAAAACTGGATTTTTAAAGAGAAGTACATAATCCTCATACTGCACATGCGCAGACTACGTGGATAATTCACACAAAAAGTAGGATAAGGTCTTGCCCTTTTCTCATTAAGTGGCCAGTTGTAATAAATTAGGATTTTATCCTAATTCTGCAACTGCATTTTCAAATGCATAGCTGTCTACTGCTTTGGAAGTTTTCTAAACTTAAGCAGTAACCTAAGTAAAAGGTTTTCTAAAAACTGGGAGCTGTTCTGAAAACTGGAATATAGCCCATCCTAAGAGTCAGACTCTCATTTGCTTCATTAAACTGTAGCAGGATCTTTAATGAAGCATCTGGTAAAATGAAAGTCTGGTCTGAAAGCTGTTCAAAGTCTGTTTGGCTGCCCTGGCCCTAAGGCCTAGCTGTTTTCCTTTCATTTTTGCCTTACGGTTGGAGTATTCGCATGTGAACTGTTGCACAATTGAGCTAAAAATACAAAGCCCCAAACACATCCAGAAAGATTTCACATTGTTTTGGCTGTCCATTTCTTCAAGGAGCAAGTGTTTCCAGCTCCACAGCAAAACAAAGAAGCTCTCTACAACCGTAGAAGGAATAAGGCTGAACTGAACCACAGAACAGTGCAGGTGATCCAAGAAATGAATGGCAGAATGGACTGTGCCTTCCTGGTACACTCTGTTACTTTCCTTTCTAGGTCTCATGGAGCATCTGCCCTGCTGGGCAGGAGCAGTGTATGAGGTCACATCAGGCAGGGACAGAGAACGGAGCAAGTTAGGTAAAGGTCTGACAGATCTGCATAACACAGGCAATGCGACCAGTGATCAAATCCTGCTGAGCCTGGAGCAGAGAAGGCTGTGGTAGACCCAAGATCAGTCGCCCACTATCTGCAAGGAGGATACTGGAAAGATGGTGGTGCTCGGTGGGAGGACGAAATAAAATGGGCACAAGTTGAAACAAAAGAGGCTCTGATTGTAGAAAAGGCGAAACTTCTTCATCATGAGGACGGCCAAGTGGTGAGACATTACCCAAAAAGCTTGTGCAGTCTCCATCTTTGGAGGCTTTCAAGACCAATGGCACCAAGCCCTGACCAGCTGGTTTGATCTCATAGCTGACCCTGCTCTGAGGAGCAGGTTGGGCTTGAGAACTCCTGAGGTCCCTTCAGACCTGAATTCTCCTATGATCTCAGGAAACTTGCCACCAGATTCCAGCGTATCAAAGAAAAGGTTATACACAAAGCCCCCTACATCCAATTATGGAAATGTCCTGCCTCTAAGAAGAACTTCCTTCTAATTCCCAACTGTCAGAATTGGCCACATATCAGCCTGAAGTGTGATTTAACACTAGCTTCTACAGTTAAAAAGGAAACCTACAGTAATAGCTGAAATGAAGATGCTAAAAGCTTTGCTGAAAAACAGATAAAGCTTGTGATTGACATGTTCAGACAAGGCTTCCCAATTTTAGACTCTGACAGTTATCTTGAAAAAAAACTAAAAGGAAGTAGCTCAATTCTCAGCCAACAGAACTTGCAAAGGTTAAGAATGTTTGAAAAAAACAGGTCCCTTTCATTCAATAGCTGGAAACACGATTTAAAACAAATTTTATGTACCCCAATTTGAAAACTTTACGTAACTTGCAGCAGAGAATTTTTGATATCTCACATCAAAACAGAAAGTTAATGTTCTGTCTGAACATGGTGAGTAGATGGTAAATTAAATATTTAGTTTATTAAAGTGCATATTAACAAATAGACTCTTAGCTACAGAAGGAGATAGCTAAGAAACAGAGAATAATTCAAAAAATAACTGAACAGCATCTTGAGCATTGAAATATATAGTGATGCGCACCTGGAATATTGCAATTCACAGGCTAAAATACTTCTAGAAGTACTACAGTGCCCAGGTAGCAGAGAGAAAACTGAATCTCTGTAGTATTTGTGGGGCAGCTTCTCTGCGGCGGTTGCAAACTGACCTGTAAGCTGATGCTGTTAACAGATGCGTACCACACGAACACAGAAAAGCAGGGCTACGCCAGACTTCAGAGGTCAAACTGCTGCCTTAGGTACTTCAGCAGTATGAAGCACAGCCTTTTCAGAAGTACTTAATCACTTTATACGCTGAAATTCTCTTAGACCTGTTAATGAACTGTGCAAGAGAACAGTGAGGATGAACAGAATAAAGCCAAGCTTCACTATGCAGTTACCAGAGCTCCCTGCTGTGGTGAGGATGTGACTTGAACAACTCTAACGAAGACAACTTCAGGTGTCCGTGCAACATTGCACTTCTTGACAGGGTCTAAACTCTAAGACCAAAGTTATGTGAACTAGGAACTGAAAACATTCCTCAGCCAGTAAGGAACACTTATATTTACAGTTCTTTCTCCTTGAGCCAGATACTTCCAGACATCCCTACTCACACACCAGCCCTGCAGTGCTCCCTCCCTGAAATCCCATCACCTTGCTCAGGTGGCAGGTTTAAGTAGAAGACTTTAATATAACAGGCCTGCATAGTCTATGGAATAGCTGCTGTTTAATATTTTTTTCAAGTAAATAATATTTTTTCAAATAAATAATTTTTGTTTCAAATAAAGCAAACTGTGTATCGGTAGCTAACATATTTTGCAACACTAGAATTTTTAACACTAGAATTTATATTATAAGAAGAGGATGAAAAAAAATCACAACAGATTTCTTACAGTCTGCATTACAGCTTTGATTTTGTTTTGAAGTGTCAGACTCTGTGTCACTGGAAGCAGACATTCCCTCGGTGGTATTTTTATGCTACCGACGCAACAGACGCTCAACTTGCCAGGTTCTCTCAGCAGAACTCCATTAAGATAAGAAAGAAGTTTATATTTTTTTATGAAAGATACAACAAAACTTAACACATGAGGCCTTTAATCAAGCAGCTACATAATCGTTTAAAATGAGTTTTACTCCAGACTGGCAGTTTGCAGGATTTGGTTTCATTTTGGCCACATACAGCAACCCAGGGCACTCTGCTCCTGCCAAATCAAGACACAGCTTGTCAGCAGGATCCATCACCTCTGGGCTTTCTAGGGCCCGTGGTGGTTAACACCCAAGGCTGGTGAGAAAGAACAAGGATGTCAGTAATGCTTTGCCACCCATCACTTCTGGGTGCTCAGCATCCTTGGACCCATTGCATCTGTGTTTTCAAATGTGTGTGTTTCTTAAATCTCTGCAATACCTCACAAACACAAACTTTCTTACATTAAAATTGCTTTGCTGTCCATCAAATCACTATCACACCCCTTGGAAATTTGTTCTTCACAGATAACGTGATATGGCTGTGATCTTTCTTCTTTTACTTGTGGTCTTGTTGAGACACAAGCATGAGATACTATGCATCTTCTCCTAAATACAGCAGCAGATCTAGGAGTGGGAGAATTCTGGACTCCCTCTTCCACGATCTGAACTGCACAAAATATAGCATGAACGTTTGGCAACACAGTCCTTAAAGTTTAGAAGACATAGCTTTTGTAGGGAAGTATCCCAACACAGTACTGACTTATGAAAAAAGTGCAAACCAGCACTGGATGTAAAGGAGAAATCTGGGAAGCACAGATGAGCTAAAAAAGATTTTGGACCTTATTCCTCCAAGTAGGACCACAGGGGAAAATCAGATTAGGGTCTCACTGACTCTGACAGCGCCCATCTTGCACCAACATGCACTTCTAACCAAAGTAGCAATACATTCATCTCCTGTTATTATTTCCCTCCTGTAACTGATATATTCTTGCATCTAACCAAGTGATTTCTATTAAGTTTTTCAGTGTTTCAGAATAAGCCTCTGAAGTCTGTCTTCCAGTGAAATCTATGAGAACTTACTGAGATTCAATAAATTTGTTACTCTGAAAAACAAAACAAATTTAGAAAAAACAGCTCAGAAATTGTCTCTAGACAAGGACATCAAACTACTGACTAACATAAATGATCAATTTCAAGAAATGTGTATTTTAAAAATAAGGCAGTGCATATGAAGACAAACACTAGCTCAAGTCTCGCATAACTGATACTGCAATACCCTCTTGTGGTCAAATAAAAATGTTTGTCCAAACACCTGAACTTTTTCCTCCACGAAAAGCCTCTCTAATCATCTCTTCCTTTGACAAGGGGAAATAACTCACATATCTTTCACAGATGAATTTGTAGTGCGTATTATCACCTGCCTGGCAACAACCAAAGACTATCCTCAGTCAAGTTCTTTCTCAGAATGATGGGCACTGACACTGCTTGTCACATAAACTAAACCCAAAACAAACTCCTAAGCAAAAGCACCATTTCCTACAGTGACTTTTTTCAAGTTTCATATCCCCAACCAGAAAAAATAAAGATGCAATAAAGATGCTATCATCAATTTGCATAGATACGTAAGCCATGAAGCCACAATAAACATCAACCTATTCTGCCACAGGTTGAAAAGAAGTACAGAATAAATCAGTCATACCAATTCAGATGAACTCCCTGCCTAAATGCCCCAAGTTGTTATAGTGAACAAAATGTTAAACTGGCAGGATGTAATATGAGGGGAAACAGTTCAGTATCTGCAGCAGTTCTGCTGAGCTGTTAATCTAGTAAATGGCCTAAATGGGCTACTAGTATATCCAATAAGGAGTCTAGAGTAATGCCCAGAAATGTCATCCTTGCACTCACCCTGATGTGCTTTAATGGTGCATAACCACTCCCTTAATGACTTTTGGTCCCAACAGAAAATGGGATAATTTTAAAAATATCAGCTCTTAGTGATCTGTCTTTGGCACAGCAGCTACATTTTAAAGTCATATTATTATAATATGTTTTAAAACCCAACTTATTTAAATAGCCATGATCCCATTCTCATCTGTTATTTCCAGAGAAATGGCTTGAACACTATGAAGTGTCCAATACCTGCATATAGACTCATAACTTTGTTTAAAGCCTAAAGACTTACTTCTTTTCTGAGGTTGTATGGTCTCAGACCAACAGATCTGGCTTTACCCTGTGAGTTCACTTTCAGTAAGATGTTCAGAGAGGCACTTCATAGCCCTACACCTGCACGAAAACCAGGGTAGTTACAACTCCTGCATCTTTGCAGACACCACTCAATGGCACAGTCTTTAAACACCTGCTTGTAATCTTTCCATCCAGTTTATTCAGTGGCTACAAGTAGTCATTTGGAAGCTATGTACTCAGTACAATAACCATTTTTAGATCATTATTATGTTTAATTTGAAGAAATTGAATTGAGGGAATGATCAGAATTAAAACAACCCAGGAACTTTGTAAACAAGAACTAAAAACCATTCCATGAACAGGAACAGACATCCCATCAGGATCCTTTCCTGACATGATCAAGAGCTAAAACCCCATGTGCAATGATTAATGCACTGGGTCTTGCAAACACGCCTCAGCTTCCCTTTAAAGCAGTTTGACGCTGCTAAAACCCCATTTTCCAACCAGCTGCACACACTCCAACTTGGAGAGGACTCTGGAACGAATGCAGAAGGATAAGCAGATTCCACTGAGACAACTATCAGGCCAGGTTGGCAAACAGTTCATTTCTTCAGTTCATGATAATGCTCTGTGGATATGACTTCTTTTGTTTTTTGGCTGAAAGAGATAAAAAACACTATTCAGGTTTCAATTATCTCAGAAAACAAGCAAACAAACAAAAAGTCTACTAAAATTTCAAACCCAAAGCAAACACTGTGATTTGAGGTAGTCAAACATTGTGATTTGAGGTAGAGTTTACCTCTTCTTAAGTTATGTTATTGCAATCTTCAAAGTCAGAATAATTTTTCCAAATATAGAAGTATTTCTTGCTCTAATATGTCTACATGAAGTGTTTGGATTGTTGTATAGTTGTAACTATTTTAAAAGAAATTATTTGTCAAATTCAGCATGTATTGCCCAATACTGCAAACAAGTAAGTTTGCCAAAAAAACCCTAAAAATTCAATTCAAAGTTCATTGGCATTTACCAGGAAGATGAAGCAAGAGGCCAGAATTCATCTGCAGATAATCCACACTATTCAAAAACAAGTCAGTCAAGAATTTCAGAGGAAATTCACACTTAAAACACTCCATTTTCCTGCAAGGTCAGAAATACTTGAGGAAGTGACTTCATACCACAAAAGCCCAACAGGCTGACTGTAAAGACAAACAATGACATTTTGGACACTGTTTTGAAAATTCCCACTTTGTATACTAATAACCCTTTAACGTTACTTAAAAACTACTTCTCATAGTTGCTTAATACCCTCTGCAGAAACCTCTAGGTACTTAAAAAGCACTTTTGATGATCTCTGGCTGCTTTTTTTTTTTTTAATCTGAAAATCATGATCTTTCAAAGAACAGATTTGTTGAAACAACTTATTTCAAACAAATAAGGTCTGCCCCAAATACAGTTCAAGGCCCCAGCAGCTCTCCCACTGGGTCTCTGCTGCCTTTCTGGTGAATACTCACAAGTCAGACTTGTTTCCAATGGAGACAGTAAACACACCAGGGAAACCCAACAGCTTTCAGGAGATTTTGCTTCTGCTACGTAACCACAGCAAAAGTCCTCCTGCTATATTCAGCAGCAAACGCCACAGCACCCTTTGCTACTAAAGCAGACTTTATAGTTCAGAGGATTTTGAATAGAGAGTGGTCTCAGCTGCAAGCAGCAGTAACTGCCTCATCAGCTGAGAGTTTGCTGGTTACAGCTGGAGATCCAAGGGCTTTCAGTAACAGTAATTTCTTACAAAATTGCTGTTACCATGAAAACTCCCTCAGCATTCAAGCAATAAAGCAACATAAAGCTGTAGGAAATGACCACTAAATAAAAGGGAAGTAACCCAGTGCCGAGCACTGCCTGTCAGTGCTGCCACGTAGGTTTGTTTTCTGAAAGCACTCCAAATCAGCAGCTAAAAAGAAAAGGTTAGGAGAGGAGGAGCTTTGAAAGAGCACACAATATCAGGTTTCATTTTCCTAACAGTTACAATATACCTAAGAGGTAACTGAGGACACAATAAGTCTCAAAATGGACAAGTTGGGAAAGGATTCTGGATTCAGGAGAAATACCTTGGTTAGGTCTTGGCACCCAGCTACCACACCTCTGCGGCAACCAGCCTCAGCTCCATCTGTGTCTCTCGGCAGCACCCAACCCAGAAGACCTGTCCTTGCACAACCGGCTACTCGGGGCCGGGCAGCACTGCAGCAGGACCAGGTGCAACAGGATAAGATCTGGAGAGAGTCTGTGGAGGCCGAACAGAGAGGAAGAAACATCTGGTAAGTCACTTGTTGCAGTTCATTCCTCTTCTACTCATCCTGACAATGGTACTGATGCTCCCTAATAGTCTTAGGGCTTGATCTAAAGCCCACACTATCAAGGGAAATTTTCTTCTGCGGGGACTTTGGATCAGACTCTTGCACCTTTCTTTCTAAGATTATATGATCTCTGTTTTCCTTTACTGGACAAAATTTATGCTAATAGCTCCTGCCATGCAGGGCTTAAGTTGAAAAGAGATGCAAAGAATTGCATGCTAAGTATCTTTTAGCGTTACAGAGATTTCCACAATGAAGACATAAATGTGCCAACCTTTATAATTCATTGCAGACATACTGATATTATCAACTCTTCACATATTCTTGGAAATGGCTGAAATGGAAGCTGAACAGAGTGTTCTGCCAAAATATGATTTTGTATTCCCAATCTGTTCATCTGCTGAACATGACCCGTTGTTAGAGTTTCAGCTGACTCTGCATACATACAACCTAAGTTTTGACCGTGTATACATCAGTGACCTGAAGGAACCTGACATTAAGATCCTCTCTGTCTCTGTCACTTACTGTGAATAAGTGTTTATGCTCACACTTCAGTACAGAGCATGAGCATGCCTATTAGAAGAATATCCTTGGTAAAAGTAAAATCAGATCCTGTTCCAACTGTGCACTAGCTAAGCTAAGGAAAAGGAAGAACATCGCTCTCATGATTTTTTAGAATGGGAAAAGAAACCATCTGAAAAGCCCTGTTCTCCTCAGCCTTCTGGAGGACACACAAATCACAGCTCTGATTTCCCCAGAGATGCATCTGCACTCTTGTCTGGCTCCTTTTACCTGAGGGAAAGGCTGATGCCAGGACTCTGACTCCAGCAAAGCCAAGGCCATGGCAGCAATGTTAATCTAACTCAGTTGTGCACTCAGACTCTTCCCAAACAGGCCCAGCATGTTCCATTCCCTAGCTAAGGCAGCAGGATGGATTCTCTCTCTGCCTGCCCTCTGGGGTTCGCAGTCACGGATATGGGTGCAAACTCACCTTCAGGGGTAAGTAAGGTAACACATCATACAGCTGATGCACATCCTGCTCTCCAGTCTTAGCTACAAAGACAGAAACTCTTGTAAGAGGGTAGGATAGACATGTGAAGGACAGATGCCTAAAGCTGGATTCATCAGACTACATTTGTACAGCCTGAAGAGAACAGTCCTTCAGTTCCACATCCCCATCCCAAACACAGGGATGGGGAAAGGCTGCTATGTGTTGGTGCTTTGACCTGAAGTTGATATAGGTAAATGTCTGAGACCCAAGCATTTCTCAGTAATTAGCACCATCCAGTAACACCCACATCTGACACATTCAAATAGTGGCTGGCATAGCAAGTTAAAAAATTTTAGGACCTCTATGCTGTGCTGGTATACTAAGACATATAGTGATAAATACAGCTATCGGTAAGTAGCTTTTATTTCCACTTAGGGCATATCTGCACTCAACGTGGAGGGCGCAGCACGGAAATCTGATGCTCCTAGTTGCACGTGGTACACAGCTGCGCTGTACTGACGAGCTCGACTCAGAAGGACGTACAGCTTCAGCACTAGATCGATGAGCTTAGATGCAGCACTGTACAGACACAGGCAACCAGCTCAGAGTCAACCCAGGTGTCTCTTGAGCCTTGCTGAAAATGCAGCTGTAGATAACTGTTTCCTCTCTTGACCTCACAGTACTTTTACAATACCAGGTGAAATTTCATTTTCTCCATTTCAGGCCAGGGAAAGCAAAGGACAGAAAATCAAAGGACTTGTAGTCCCATACCAGGTATAGAACAGAGCTGAAGAGCAAAACTCAGGTCTTCTGACTCAATGTGCTCCTAGCACAGCTGCCTATCTGCACAAAATACTTCCGTGGGTGTTTACCTGCTCCGGGAATTCCAACCAGGGACTTCTGCTAGCAGAGTATTGGTCATTTAAAAACTAAGAAGCTGTGTCTTGCTCAAGGTATGGGTCAAAAGTTTGCTAGAGTGACTCAAGACTTTGCTAATTTATCTGCATTTGCACAAGGAATACACTGTGGACATGCTATCCTCTTCTTCCTTTAACAAAAAAAAATCCCACTCCTCCTGTAGTATAGGCTCTATATGGGAATAGATAAAATTGAGCTTCATCACAGAAAAGACAGGTTTCAGTAGAAAGAGTTCACAGGTATTAAGATCTGGGCTGTAAGTATCAAATTGAGCAGTTAAGTACGCATTCAAATACAACCAACATTAACTATTTTATTTAAAGACAGAAAATTTTACACTGCATTTTTTGCTTCTATTCCAAGGTACCAGAACTGGAGTTTCCTAAAGGACTATGACCTAATGGTAAGTTCCAAACAAACATTCAACTGTAATCCAGGCTCTTTTTAGTTTTCATCAATTTGAGGTAGGCTTATATTTCAAACTGAAGCATTCTTAGGCATATTGGCAAATGCTTTAAGACTAAAATATTTAGGAAAAATAAAAGAGAACTGAAGCGCTTTTCATCTGCTACCTGTGCCACAAAGAAATATAGTATGTGCATGTGTTCAACCTGCTTCAATATTAACAACTCCATAGAATGACAAGTGCTAGAAGAACCAACTTCTTTGGAGAAATTTGTAAGATAATGTCATCATGCTGAAATCCAAGCCACTTACTAAAAACAAAACTAAAATCCTCCCACACCATGACTATTCTAGAGCAGGCTAACTTCTGTCCCAGCTGACATTTTATGCAATGCATTTGAAAATTATTCATTTCCCTGTGTTATCCTATTCCCATGTAAGACCACAAGAAACAACAATTGTTTTAACTTATTCCTTCAACACTTTCATGTACATTCAGTGTGACATTTTTAAGTACATTAAAATTCTAATTTCAAAACCAAAAGTGCCAATATTATATTTATAATAATCTCAGTAGCTTGTATTTTTGTAACAAACAAAGGATCCAATTATGGAAATTTATTAATGGTCTTTGTTTTATCCAGGGTAAGAAAAAGGAGCAGAAGCCACTGCCAAACTATATGCCTGTGTTCTCAAGCAAAGTTCCCAACTCGACCAACCAGACCATTGGCAGTCGAATGAATACTGAACTTGGCAGGGCTCTGGTAAACATGGATTACTTCTTCAGCAGTGGAGCACAAAAGAGGAAACTTGAGGGTGAGCTCCAGCCTTGCTAGTGTTTCAGTAAAAATACAACAGTAACAAAGCAAGTTGAATGGTTCTAGCCAACAGACTCCATAGCATCTTAAAAAATTCCTCAACCTTTTTCTCAGAGAGGCCAATACTACTGTCTAGCATGGATTTTCTTTCAATAGCAAAGATGGATGTTGTCCAACAATGCCGTAGGAGACAATTCTCTTCATAGTTGGGGTGACTGAGCCGTATACAGGGAGCTAACACTACAGATCTCATCCATCTTCCCACGCAAGTCTACAGTAAGGTTTCCATTAACATCAGAAATAATGTGATTACAGCCCAAAGGCAATTTCTTCCTGAGTTTTTATCTCCTAAAAATAAACAATTAATGGAGATACACTCATATAAACAACATACTTTCAGTTCTGGAAGTCAGCACAATAAAATGCAGCACCATGTTGCATTTCACATAGTTAGCCAAGGATTCATCAGCTTCTGTCATCTGCATATTTAAGCTTGCTCTAAAGAATAAAATTTAAAGCACAAGACATGTTCTGTGCTATTCACCCCTCCCTGCTGAGGGAGGGAGACCAAATTTTTTCACACTAGTTTTAATTTTTGCTTCTTTAGATTTGCTGCTCTCAAATTCCCTTCTCTTTTTTTTTTTTTTTTTTTTTTTTTTTTTTTTTTTTTTTTTTTTCCCCTGGTTTAGCTGATGGAAACTCACTAACAAGGAAGTAGGCTTTCACATTCTGCTCTGAAGGCGTTTTGACTCAGTAACCTGTCTTACACTCTTAGGATCATCAACCTTGAATTTAACAGGTTCATAGTTCCTCAAATTAGTGCTTGCTCAGGGAAACCATCATCAAGCTAAATCAACACAATACCAAAACCCTGTTCACTAGTGCATCCTCATTACATAGGTACAAACTTTGTGTATGACTACTTGCTCCGTAGGGAAGAAGCAGCAATTAGCAGAGCATGGAGAGTGTATATACAATATCTGCCTGTTGAACTGTATGCTGCTTCTGTAGGATCATGCTCAGCCCTAGGTGGAGATCAACATAGAAGCAGTTAGCATTGCCCTGATACACCAGGCTGCAACCTCTCACCAGGCTGAGGTGGACAAATGTATACTTATGCTTTGCAACTACAGCTACTGTTTGGTTTTTTTTTATGATGAGACTGTAGCAGCAGAAGGCAGTTCAAAAGTACAAGAGGTGGTATGGAACAGTGCGATCACTGTCAACACCCAAGTGGTCTCTGGAAAATAAAAAAAAAGCCAAAGACACTGTAGAAAGAAGAGCCAAATCCCACTCACTGCAGTCATGGCACCAAGCAGCCCACCTCCCGGCTTCCTTGACACAGCAAGAACTGGAGGATTAAGGCTTTCAAGATGACAGCTAAGCTAACTAAAGAAGGATGACCACATCACGCAGTCAGCTCAAGTGAGAAGGACTGATTCCACTCCGTGCAGACATGAATTATGATAGACAACTGTGTTCAGACATCCCACATGGGTACCTTCTCTTTAAGAAAAAGACATATTGCTCAGCTAAAATGCTTTCTTCTCTCTCTTGTGAGCAGAAAACTGCACCAGGAACTGGTTTGTCTTCAACCATCTGAAAGGGAGAGAGTAGATCAAGCCTTTCCTTGTCCTTGGGTTTTCCAGAGCTTCTTCCAAAAACTGCCCAGGCGACTCAGAGGTTACATATTTATTGGTGACTAAACAGTACTGAAAGTCATTACACTTACATGCCTTACTCTGAGACATACTGAGCAGCCTCAACACTTGCTATGGGTCACAAACTCTATACTGAGTGGCTGATGTTCAATATCTGTCAGGCTCAATGACCATTTATAAATCATGGGGATTTTGTTTTTCAGCATGAAAGCATACGGAGCTCCATGTTTCTTAACCTCCAGATGGCACTCACTCCACATCACGTCATCCACTGAAAAGGACACTAAGTTATAGCAAGGCAGTGTTACACAACTCCTTTTTAATTTCAAGGGACATTAAATAATTCCAGATTCTTGACTCTGTTATGTGTGAATCCACAGAATCCCTCTCCCAGAGAGTTCCCACAAACTGACGGGTATGGGAAAGAGGATGGTCTAAGCAGCCCAAGACTTAATCCTTCCCCTTCACTTAGTACTGGCATTGTTTCAGCTGAAGCACTTCTCCCAGTTTTGGACAATACCTTCCATGTCTTACCCTGAAGATGTGGGCCACTAAGCAGAGTCTAGAGAAGCAATGATGATGACTGGAGTATGGGAAGATATGGCTTATGAGGAAAGATTAAAAAGACTGTTAAAGTTTAACCTGAAGAAGAAAAAGCAGTCTGGGAAAAGGGTAGCAGTTTTTAGATACAAGTATAACTCTGGAATGAGAAAATGAATAATTTGCACTTCACATGAGTGGCAGACAGTAGTAAAAATGACAGAATAGTAAAAATTATAGCAAGGAAGAATCATGTTAACTTTTTCGGAAGCTAGTGGTATGGCGAATAGAGCACTGGAATAGTTTCCCTGAGGCATCTCCACCTTTGAAAGTTAAACACACACATCCATTAAGAATTATGTATTTAATAGGGTTTGTCTTTTAGTGTATAAATAGAACGATCATCTGAAGAGCTTTTCATCAATTCTATGATCTGCACCAGAGTTGCTGGGATCAGAACACACTTTGCAAACATGATTTTTCAAACACATTCAAAAAGAATTTTAAAAAAATTCTATTTCAATTACACCAGGTTTAAAAAGATGGCACCTCTAAATACAGATTAATCACCTAATTTTTTGATAGAAAATATATTTCTAATTCTTCTAACTAATCACATAGAAAATGCTTTTCACAAAGTGTAGATGTGCCTCTTTTAATCACACACATCCGAGACGCTTGACTAGTGCCCTCCTGACAGCCACGTAAGAACACACCTCAAAGAGCACAGTCGTGTCATTATGTCACATGCATGAATGGCGATAACTAATTTTCTTTCAGCAATTTCAGGAAGCTTTTATTAATGAAGTGTAGTCCTGATTGTGCCCTTAATTAGATAAAGCACTCACTGAGATGCCAGGCAGTTCTGGCAGTGGCTACTTGCAGTGATTACATGTATACAGCACAGTAAGGCCCTTATATACCCCTGCACTCCTCAGCTGTACTTCTTAGCACAGGTCACTTCAGTCCAACAGATCACAACAGGAAAGACTGTATGTATACTTGAAGTGAAGCCAAAAGATGAAAGGATTTTTGGCTCAATTATCAAAATGTGCAACCTTGGAAAATGTTGCAAGATCACAGCAACCCACTTGGTACTGCCTCTTCTGATGTGGAATTAAATTAATCCCTTGACTTGCTGATTAAGATAATTTAAATGACTCTAAAATACCAGTGGGCAACAACTGGATAGGAGTAGCTCTGTTCCCCCCACCCCAAAACTCCAGTTCATTCCTATTTCCTGTTGAAATCAATAGCAACTCTTAAGCACTTGACATCTTAATAACTATCTCTAAGGTGAAAGTGACTGGTTAGAGAACAGAAGTCTCCCATGTGGAACAGATCTGATAATCCACGTGTTATGGGAACTGTGTGTAGAGCTGGACGCCTTATTTTGTTCAATTATTACACCTTCCTTGGAAATATAAGTTATTTTATGCTGCAGCAGTTAGTCCTCCTCTGGTACCTAGCAAAGCTAGTTTGGTTCTCTCTACCATGTACAGCAACCTCCAGAAAAGACCTTTTGGGAATATCCAAGGTCCTAATCAAACCTGCCCTAGCATCTGTGGGTACAAGGCAGCAAACAGATATCCTCTAGATGCCATTTTCATCCCAAATTTAACAGTAATTTTTCTTTTCCCATAATTAACTTTGCCAATTAATCATTATCTACATAAGCAGAGTCTCTTGGAAAGACTGGATGGGATGGTAACAGCATTGATATCTGTAAATAATCTGTGGAAATTCCATTTATTAAAGAGATTGTGTAGATACTAAACTGTGTTGTAAGTTTCTTTTAGAGTTTTACAATGTATCACTTGTGCTTCAGTTTTATAAACTTTTTTCCCTCTTGCTGCCAGATCTCAAGCAAGAGATTATACATGTTTAGACAACTCATTTTCTGTTTCTTTCAGTTAAACAGCACAAGTTGGTAGCTATATTAATTTAATTCTTTGGTTAGAAGCACTGCTTTCTCTGGTGGACTTGTTAATATTAATTGTAACTTGGGACATAGATGTTTCCAGTGCCTCAGAATTTTGTGTGTTCTGAGTTCTGCTCATAACAAAAAACTGTGGAAAATACATTTTTTAATAAAACATATTAAAGTTCACATAAATCTGTATTTCTCATACTTTTTGAATAGTCTTTTTATGTAGTTCCCAGGTGGCATCTTAAATATGAAGTTTTGTTTTAAAAAATCAGTGATGACTGTAAATCCAACTGTATTTCTTAGAAACTGTATTTAAAACTGTTTCTTGACCTTTAACTTACTCTAAAGTAAACAAAATAACTAAATGTGTTTTCCCACAAAGAAGGTCTCGTTATGCTGTGAAAATTACTGCATAAACAGTAGAATCCCTAGAACAGGGAAAGGAGAGGGTAATTATGTCTGAACATTAAATGGACAATACTGCCAGTCCAGGCATCACATGTTAGTATGTATTATGTACCTACACATTCATATTGTTTGTTTTTTATAAAGAACACTTTATAGAACAAAATTTCTGAATTTAAGTTCATCTTACAGCAGACAATAGTTTTCTGAAGTGATGCATTTTTTGGTTTGTTGGTTTTAGAAATCAACAATAGTATGTTGGGGTCTTAAGCTGCTTTTCCTAAATCCTGCCCAGACAGAAACCTGTAAAGCTTTCCTAAAGCAGGCTGTCTCTCTTAAAAACTCTATTCACTACTCTGAATCCATGTCAGGTATGCTTTCGCTTCTTCAGAGAACTTTGCTTGGATGAGTTCCTTGAAACACAGATGGTTCCCCATGAAACTCAGAAGTTTTGCCAAAGGCTGAAGAGGCGCTTGAACAGTTCTGTCAATCGCAGCCCTGCTCACAGCCCTCTTCTGTCAGAGGGCATAGATGCCATAGACTTCAGCTTGTAACCTTCTCAAAGCCTCTCTCAGAAACTGTATGTATCCACAAAACCACCAGTACTTCGAAATGGAATTCCCAAGTATCTGAGGTTACAGCCTCACCTCAGCACGAGGCCTTTATGCCAGGCTGATGGAGCAAAAACTGCTGAAAAGGTCTCCTAACCCAGGGAGTACCCAGAGAAAACTCTCAGTTGGCACATACTGATTGATAAATTGCATTAAGAAGAAATCAGCAAATATACAGGCACAATAGCTATAAAAATTATGAGATTTGGTTTCACTCTATGACTCTGACCTATTCACTTCAAACTCTGTGTCTATTTTCCCCAATTACTAATGATCAATTATCTTCACTGGATATATTTTATATAATCTGTGAATTAACAAATGTATTCATGCAGTCAAGTTCAACTACAGGTATTGCTGAGAAAGAAACCAAACCAGTGATGTAGTGTAGAACCATCTGCAACTATTACAATGTTTATTAGAAGCTATACGGTTATGTGTCTTAAAAGCCAAGTGGACTGAAAACACCATGTTT